ATACACAGATTATGCACATACTTCTACTTTTGTAAAAAATAATGCACATCAACAAAAATAGAATATATTTTGCGTTCCAAAGTCATAGTGTTGAATCATCTCCACAATCAGAAACACTTGTATGATAATCAGATATGTCTTCCTGTTCCATGGTGAGAGTTATGAGTGAAAGTCATACTGAAAAAGAAGGCTTTGCAATGACTGAATAGTTACATACTAAGCTTCAGCTTGTCTTTCAAGAAGAAGAAAGTCCATATAGGTTCTAACTAAGTGTGCTATGAAGTAAACACAAGCCAATAATTGATTAAAAAAGATAAATATTTTAGTTCAAGGAGATCTCCTTGACCTAAATTTGAATGATAATGTTCATAAAAGTTCAGAAATTTTTGCACTAAGAAGAAAAAAAAACATTCAAATATAAAAGCTTATGATAGAGAAACATGGCTCTTAGGTACTATCGATCAAACAACACTATGAAGTGACGACTTGAGATCCAAAGTAGCTCCATCAGTTACTCATGTTTGTAATCACTCCTCGTGTAATTACAACTAGATTTTCATAAGTAATTACAACTACCAGTTACTGAATGAAAGTGATTATGCATAACTTAGGCCCTATTGGTTCATACATGGTGTTGGTTGTTGTAGACTGAGCTTTACCGCATGCTCTGGCTTGAACAGTTGTTCATTTCGCATTTTCACAACTATGAGTAATTACAAAAATATTAGGTCTCACTAAGATCAAATGAAAGATGTTAACTCTCATGAATAACTATTCAAGCAAGAGCAAGCGGTCAAGTTCAATCCACAAGCAACAACCAACATCACGAGTGAACCAATAAGGCCTAAGTTATACAGCATGCAAAACAATTCATGCGGGACAAGATTTTACATCTCAATCTTCCATGCTTTTATTCAGAAATTTCCTAGACAAATAGAGATAAAGAAAAGTCACAGTCTTCAGATGATGTGCCTAGACGATTGTATCTAACATCTTCAGAAGACCTCAAAATTGAGAAAGAACTGCCGATCACCAAATCTACACCAGCAAAGCAAACTTAACAAGTAGTATGTATTGATGCAAAGCAAAAGTAAATCTGGGCCAGCCAGATATTGAACGTTCAAGTTCTGAGCGAGAGCGGACAGTCAATACCTTAATCAAATCTCAGCTATTCGGCAAGAACCTTCTTCCTTGCAATCATGAGATGGAACCATAGTTGCTACTTTGCGGTTAGAAGTTGCACTTCTCGAAATGTTCTATGAATGTTGTTATCTCATTCATGGACCATCATTCCGACTATATTTTCTTTTGACAACCGCAGTCTTGCTGCTTTGTAGCTAAGTTTTGCCAACAGACAAATATTCCCTAGTTGGATAAAAGTCCAACATGAGTGAAAGTCTAACGTGGTGATAAAGTGACACGTTCTCACCATAGAGTTGTTTTCACGTCTATATGGCCAATTTTGTATACATGGTTAAAGCCGGTATTCTAAGAACATCACTTAGGAAAATTAATCTTAAACTCTTGTATTTCCAGAAGAAAACCTAGTCCCTTTTTCTATGATCAATCCATCTTTTCTGTTCGAAGTTCATGTAGAAGCATCTCTAGTCAGCTCATGTAAATTGAAGTAACTCTATACTTGCAAGACATAAATGTTTGACAAGTTATCATTGGAGAAATGTCATTTGTCATTTCGAGACAGTATAGAATACATCTATGAGATATGAGTGTGATTTATAGACCCATGTATCGTGACAATTAGATTTCTATTATACTGTTACATAGATACAATGATACTATCTCTTTTGTCAAACGATACAGTAACATCGTTTGATTATATCAACAGGTTCTGCTTTGAGTTACATGGAGTTAATCAAGAAAACATAGATACGCGACGATACTGATATCTTGCAGTATAACAGATTAGGTTGATAACACCATGTTTAATCTTCCACAAACACTCAAGAGATTTTCAATAAGCTTAGTGTAAACATCTAAGTATAAAAATAGGTATATAATCTATCTGAAATTATTAAATTTTTTCGGTTACATAATCATATCCTATAGTTCTTTGAAACAATATGCACATGTTCGTTTCTCTGTTTCATTGATGTACAAACAAGCTGAAGAGTAGTATAATGTAGCAACGATACGCATATCGCTGCTAAATTGGATGCTTTTTCAAAGAATTGCTTTGTCAACAATTAAATTTTCTAAAATTATCTTGTACATGTTTTTTACATAATTTTTATACTAAAATTAATAAAATATCAGAGAATAAAATAATTTCATAATAATATGTGATTCATATAGCTGCTTTAAAGATAATATTTTCTCTCTTTCATCTTTAAGAATATTTTTTATTCAACTGAATTTTTTTAAATATAATTTAACTCTAACATATATGAACATGGAATATATCATTAAATTAAGTATAATGATTTGCTCATAATTAATATTGGATGTGATTCATATTGTTGATTTCTTGTGAAAAAAAACAAAAAAAATAATCATCTTATGCTTATCATATAATATTAAGATCATGTATGTAGATCAATCATATTTTGTCACATGTTATTTATAAATTAATAATTATTCATATTAAATATCATAACACGTGTACATTAATACAATCATTTCATAAAAAAGAAATCTTTTCAAAACCTGAAAAATATATATGGATAAAATATTAATAAGAATCAAACATGAATATCATACTGTGAATCAAGCAGCATGCTTTTTACGTTTTCAGATCTTACGTTTTTTTAGAATGGATTTCTTAGGAAAGATGAAATATGGAAAGCTTAGTGGCAAAATCAAAGTTTGTCAAAAGAAACTTAGATTTTTCCTTTTTAGTCACATGATTATAAATATTAATATTAAATACATTTCAAATTTTCAATTGCATTTTTAAATATCAATTGCAGCTAGCTCAAATTTTACATTTCATGACGTGAAACAACTGCTACAAAATAAATCATACGAACTAAAATTGATTGTCATTCAGATTAAAAAAAAATTCAAATTTTTGAAAATTTATGTGAGGTTTTAGTTTCATGTTTGATCCTAACTCAAAAATGTTATTTTGTCATATGTACATGTAAATATACGAAAAATATAATTAAAATAATCAGAATATTAAAAATCATATTTAATTCATATTTGTTTGAAGTATTTGGATGATTTTTGTTTTTTGCTTTCAAATATAAATGAATAAAATAAATAAATTATGTCTTTTATCAATAATAGTATGAAAATTCGATATGATTTTGATTTTAAAATTTAACACTTAAAAAATAGCTTATTTATTTCTCTCTTATTTTTTTACATTATTATATTGTCAATTATTATTTCGATTATGATTAATATTTTAAATGTTTAAAAAAATTATGAATCATAAAGTAACTTTCAGTATAGTTAAGTATTAATCTATTTTATTTATTTTTTAAAAAGATGAAATTTACTTTTAGAAAATTGAACCCGTTCGTTCATTTGTATCTTTATTTTGCACATTTAGTATTTTTTCACTTGAAAAATATTTTCAATGAATATCTTAACTACAATCTTACATATTACTAATATTTGTCTTTTCCAAGTTTATAATTTAGTAAACGCATGCAACCGAAGACAAATTTGGTTATGTAACACCAGCTTCTCTATTTAGCAATAAATTTGAATTTGATCTATTCCGCATTTCAATCAGTCAATTCTAAACTCTACTATGTACCCACCAATGAATAGTATAGTGGGCGAAATTACGGGCCATGATTTTCGTTATAACGCAACTGCCACATTGCTATTTTGCCTCGTGAGCCTTCCGTCCAAGTGAAGTACAACGAGACTTTGAATCTATCCACCAATGTGAGGAATGGCAAGGATTGGACGCGTAAGTGGGTTCAGACCCGGATCCCAGATATGGTGAACGAATGTGGAGAGTTTTCAAATCCGCTCATTTTGATAAATATTAAAATGCCACCATTTGCTACGACTCCGTACATATGCACCGACAATATTATGGGCCAGAGAGGGCAGGATCACCTCGTATTGCTGCATGTATTTGCATAGGGTTGACCAGATGATCTAGTTTGTTATTCTGATTACAAGTTATCTGGAGAGTACTGCTCTGATTGACCAAGTTCCATGAACTTCAGCCGACACCTCCACCCGCGGCCCACTTGGGAGAAATCGGAGTGATGTTCTATGAGTCCATGTGATGTCCGGTTCGGTGCATGTGCAATGACAAACCAATCAATCTCGTGTCCCGCAACGCGGTCTCCGAAAAGAACGAACAGGAGAGTCTGGAAACCGTCCTTTTCATTGAAGCGAAGTGACACGTGTCGAGTACGATGTCATGGAGTGAAAGGGGCCATATGCGCGATTCCGTCCGTCTCGAGGCCAAAAGCATGGGCGTGAAAAAAGAAGAACAGAACAAAAGCATGGGCGTGAATGAACCGATGCCATCGAGCGCTTCTGTGCATACGCATCACCGGCACAGCCGAGACGTGCCATGAGTACAGTAGAGCATGACATGCCATAGCATGGCATGTCACGCCCATTGCGGAGTGTGCAGAGGTCACTGAATCCGGGGATGGTAATATCTCCGACGAGAAAAGGAGGCGCCATCCCTAACCTCAATTCGCAAGGAAGCGTTCAGCGGTTTCCATGTGGATCGGGTTCGTGGTGACCGGTTTTAGGGCTCCGCGGGAGAAGTCCGGACACGGGACCGCCGGAGGCACCTCCGGCCCTCCGTAGGGCTGCGTCGGGAGCGGAACCCGTTATTGGCAACTGCGAGAAAGAGGCCAGAAGGAAGGGGGCGAGTCCGCGGGACCGCCGGAGGCACCTCCGTACCTCCGTAGGGCCGCGTCGGGAACCCGTTATTGGCAACTGCGACAAAGAGGCCAGAAGTAAGGGGGCGAGTCCGCGCGACCGCCGAAGCGACGGAGGAGAAAAGCGCCGGCCAGCACGCCTCCCTCCGTAGGCCTGCGTCGGGAGCGGAAGCCGTTATTGGCAACTGCGACAAAGAGGCCAGAAGGGAGGGGACGAGTCCGCGGGACCGAGGGACAGTGATCGGACAGGGGAATTGGATCAGATCCCAGGCGGTCAAGGGGGACGCACCTGGGACCCCGAAGAATCGTGTGACACCGTATACTCTGCAGCAGCCCCGCTGAGCATTGCCCTTCCATGGAGCTCCCAGGCAACCGCTGCTGAATGCTCGGCCGGATTATTACAACTAGATTTCTGTGACAGCCGCCCTGCCGAGCCAGCCACCCATATTTGCATCCGTCCATTGATCGCGCCAGTCAGTCAGTCAGTCAGTCGGTGTGTGCTCTTGCTCGGGCGCTCTTCGTCGACGCTGTCGTCGCGGGCTTTCTTGCTTTCTAGATGATTGTCCTCCCCGTGCAGAGGACATCATCCCAGCGCTCCTCGTCGATCGACTCGCTTCGGCTGCGCCCGAGCCCCGGTTCCCAGTTGCTCGCCGCAGGCTGCTGGGCTCTCTGCGCGTACGTTTCTCGTGCCCACGGCCCTCCCGGTTGCCCGCTCTTTTTCGGTTGATTTTGCTGGATTGATTGATTTATTGATTTCTTGGGTCGGTGCGTTCGTTTGTGCGTCGAGCGAGTGATCGATTTGTGTCCGGACCACGAAATCTCTCTGGCTTGCTCGCTTCTTTTCGGCGAGTTGTCTCCCGCGCGGGCTGGAGTTCGCTTGCAGCCTTGGGGTTGGAGGTCCCTGTGCTCTTTTGTGTTTCTTCTGGCTGTTGGCTCTAGCTTTTGCTTCGAGTTTGCGAAGTCGAGCCCTTGCGTTTGTTATTCGCTTCATGTTGTTTTGGCGAGCGAAGTGTTTTTGCTCTCAAATTACTTCTTGCCGACCTTTTGTCTGCCGAGGGGAGAGGAATTTGGGGCGTTTGTGGCCAGACATCTTTCCGCTAGCGCCACAATCTGAGCTATTTGTAGGTAGTGCAATGCCTCTTTAAACGAGACTTGCGAGGGCAGTGTTTTGTCGAATGAAGGGTCATCACTTACGCTTTTCTCGAACTCTTTCATGCACCAGGCTACTAGTCTTGGCATGCCACCGCAGTGTTGGGAAGGATTCGATTCAGTACCATGTAAGGACCCGGAGATTGGAGATTGTAAGGGCACCACTCCGTAATCAGATGGATGAAGGTAAACACAGCTTGCGGAGTTTTCTTTGATATACAAAAGTTTCACACGCATGCATGGCCGTTTAATATTGCTGACAGTCACAGTTATACCTGTCCGTGGTAAATGAAGCGTTATTGAAGAGCCTCAATATTCAGTGCAGGTGAGGAGGTGTCAGTGCGTAGTTGGGAATACTGGAGATAGCATCGGCGAGCGGGAGAAGGGATGTGTGAAACGGCCCTGGATGCCGCCCACACACGCAGGCACGAAGAAGCACCGGGCACCTTTCTATTTGTGAGTAGACCAACGACTAATGATGGGCATGGATACCTCAGTACAGAGGTTACGACCATCGAGTGCACAGACGAGGATGCTACTGCCAGGGAAATGGAATTCTGCACTACGCCGTTTTACAAATTGCACGGCGTAGTGCAGAATCAAGACGAAGACCAGAAGAAAATGCCTCGAAAACGCCAATGGCTCGGGGAAAAGGATGCTTTCTTTCTTCGTGAGGGTTTCGTTAAAAATATGGTTTCCATACCAGCCAGGTTTCAGTTCGTGGTCGAAGGACCTAAGTGCAAAGTGCAACGCCGCCCGCTGATGAGGGATGTCAGCGACACCACATGTGAGAGCGAGACACCTGAGAACGATCTGATAAACCTACTTCCAGATGAATGTCTCTATGAGATATTTAGATCATTGTCCCGAGCACAGGACCGTCGCTCTGTGGCGGGAGTATGCCGGCGGTGGCTTTGGTTACAGAGTCACATGCCCCGCTCAAGCTTTAAGACTAGGCTTGCGAGTATCGCACCTTTGGAGCAGGAGGCTACTCAGACGCGGATTGTTCGAAATATCGGTCGAGGCGGTCAAAACGATCGGGCCCCTGAGCCCGTCGCAGTCCTCGATGAGGAAGAAAGTGATTTGTCTCGGGATCTAGGAGGGAGAAAGGCTACAGACGTGAGGCTGGCATCTATGGCTGTCGGGACGCTGGGTCGAGGTGGTTTGGGAAAATTGAGGATCCGGGGAGGCCCAGGAATGGACATATCTAGAGCTGTTAGTGACGAGGGAATGAAAGCCGTTGGTGTTTGTTGTTGGGCGTTGCGAAAACTTGACCTATGGCACTGCGCTAACATTGGGGATGAGGGACTGATATCCATTGGCAGGGGTTGTCATCGCCTGGAGAGACTCAATATTTTGAAGTGCCCTGGAATTGGAGATGCAGGTATTAGGGCTGTTGCAGAAGGGTGTCCTCTTCTTAGCAACATTAGCTTGGACTCCTGCAAGAGGATTGGAAATGAAGGCCTGAAATCCATCGGGCGATCTTCGTCAAACCTCGTCTCCTTAAGCATCAGCAACTGCGAAGTAGGCAGTGAGGGTATCGTTGCGGTGGTATCAAGTTGCTTAAAGCTGAAGGAGATGCTGCTGGAAAAGGTTGATCTTAATGATGCTGGACTTGGCCAGGTGGGAGAACACTTGAAGTCTCTCGTTAAACTCACCTTGTCTAACCTGAAGAGTGTTACTGAGGCCGGTTTTCTTGCTCTTGGAGACTCATCAAGCTTGCAGGAGCTGAGAGCTATGCGAGTCAGTGCTTGCCAAGGACTGTCAGACAATGCCTTGAACGTCGTTGGGGAAAGTTGCAAGGAGCTGAGGGTTTTTTCTCTTCTCAATTGTGAGGCAGTCAGTGATATGGGGCTACAGGCCTTTACTATGTCCTGTCGTTTTTTGGAAAGCCTTCATGTAGAAGGCTGCAGTGGCATTACTCAAGTCGGATTGAAAGCTGCCCTGGCAAACCGTGGGGGACAACTCAAGGCCCTTCGCCTGAGCAATTGCAGTGGAGTTGTAGAGGACGGTCTGACGGATAAGGATGTGGTCCAAACATGCAGTGTTCTCAAGTCCCTGAGCATCACAGATTGCAAACGAGTTGGTAACGATTGCCTTGGAATGTTGGTCCGTTCTTGCCCGGCACTGGAAGTTCTGAATTTGAGCGGTCTAAGTGCGGTCGGCGATTCTGTTTTGAAACATTTAGTCGGAGGGGCGAAAAGGAAGCTCAGAGAGCTGAATTTGACCGGCTGTGTGGAAGTGACGGACGTGGGAGTTTGTGCTGTTATTCAGCGTTGTGCTGAAAATCTTAAGATTCTCAGTCTCGAGGGCTGTATCAAGGTAAGCGACAAAAGCATGCATGCGCTTGCAGTAACGTGTTCGGGACTCGAAGAGTTGGACGTTTCGAGATGTGGGATTACCGATGATGGTTTGGAAGCTGTTCTAGTCGAGAATGGAGCAGCGTTGAAGAGCCTGTCTTTGGCAGGATGCGAAGCCCTCACCGACAAGAGTCTTGAGGCTCTTGAGAGGCTTGTGGTCCATGATAAATTCGGATCTTTGAATGTGAAGAAGTGTCAGGGTATGAGTCGGAAGGCCCTGGACCGTTTTGAGATGAACTTTTTCAATACTTTTATGCGGCGCACCTGAAAGAGGCTGAATTTACTGGGACCATTCGAGCCAGTTTTTTGAAGGTTCGAGCTTGGCTTTCCTGGGTGTGAAAACGCTCTTGGGGAAGCGGTTACATATGGTGCTCCGTATCGACTTCCAATAGTTGTATCGGTTGCTTCCATCAGGAATTTCTCAGATCTTTTGGCTAGTGAAATGATTTGCGAAGCGGAGGTGTTGTTTCTGGTTCCTCTAGGGGCCAAGTCTAGACGCATAGATCCCGTACGTGCTTATAGTGCTTTTAAGGGCTCTGAGAACTCTGCCGTCACGCGAAGGATCAATTGGACTGCTCATTTGTTGGAGCTTCAGCCGGAGCGGAGCAAGGGATTGTCCAGTGTGGTGATAACATGTGTTTATGGTGAAGTTCAATAGCCCGTCATACCTATGATAAGTATCTCTCAGGAAGTTTTCAGACGAAGGCACTGTCGTTGGAGATTCTGACTGTTGAACCTCTGGTTACACGTTGTTCAGACTAGTCCTGGTTTTTTGGAGCAGCTGTTTTTGCAGGTAAACACCAGTTATGGGAGCCTGTTTTTTTATCTTGGAATCGTTCACCTCCTGTGACTTCCTCGATACCCCGGCTAGCTTTTTGCACCAGGAGCAATTCTGCAGCATATTACAACCGAAGGTAGTGCAGCCAGGTTTTCATTCCACTTAGTGTCGTCTGATCAGTAGTTAGTATAGCAGCACGTCAAGTGAGTAGAAGCTCACACATGTGATCGTTTCATAGAGGATGTTGCCAGCTTTACTTTGTCAGGAACGTAGCCACGGCATTCGTTGGCAGCTATGATGAATCTTTGTTGTCAGAACCTTTGTAGCGAGAGCTCAAGTTCTGAGTGAACACTGTGAAATGGACACGGTTGTCTTATTCAAACTCTTTCCATTCACGTGGATTATTTAAAAAATAAAAAAAAAGGAAAATAAGATTTCAACAGATTTGTAGCATTGCATGTATTGTGGGTACTACTTGTAAGTTTTCCTACCCAATGTAACAACTGGCTGCTATAACATGAAATATGGGGCTAAAGTTGACAATGTACCAAAGGAATATATTTTCACTTGCATCACAGATTTCACGATAGATGATTTGGGGAGAAATTCCCGTTTCAAAGGGGAATTTTGTGATCACCATGTCATCCACTTCTAGATTATTACCAGTTGCGATATGCAGTGAGTTACTATTTACCACGGCAATGCTCGAACAGAGCGTGCACTCAAAGTCGGGAGTCTTCTATTTATCCACCTGACGTATTTGGAGCTGTAATGGGAAGATAAGAACTGAGGTGTGAGTAGATAAGGTTTGTGAGATAAAACGAGGCAGAAAAGTCAGTATATAATCCTTATGCAATTAAAGAATCCAACATAGTGTTGCAAGGAGTGATGTACCTCTATTTTTGACCGTCTGCGAATTACCGTGCAAGCCAAAGCCGAGGAGGTAAGCCAACGGACTGTGTTTAACAGCACATGTTTGCGGACAATCGACCATTGTCTCTTCAGGTTATGCAACGGTGGGATTGTAGAGACGACTGAAACTTATTTATTCTGTCCAAATGGCAAACAAGTACAGATTTCCCTCTTGACTCAGTTCTATGAAAAGCTATCTTCCAAACAACGGAAATAACCCTGTACTATTGCACGGACTGAAGCCCTCGACGTCGATTTTCAACCAGTCTGAATTACAGAAAAAATCTTCTGTTTGATACAAGTTCCTATCCAGTTCATGATGTAGTCACCATTCTAACGCGAAATTACTGCACGCAGTCTTTCGACTTTTGCCCTTATTAGCAAGCGTTCTCAACAAAGCCGATAATCATGAAACTAACTCGCTTCGAATATTCAAGCAGGGCAATATGTGGACGGAATAGACCGTACTCAGCTTTTAACATTAATAGCGTAAATCAGCGAGACGAGAAATACTTTATCGGGTGCGAAACGACCAACTGTTTCACCTTCCTCTTGTCGTTTGGTCTTGAATTCAACGTACTCGGGTCCCTCCCTCGGAGTTGGAAGTACGAAGCGACAAAGGGTGGGGAAGGATGAAAATTGTCAATCTGCCTGATCTAAGATTCGCATATAAGCACCTCTGGCTGTACGGGAGGGAAAGACGGTCATATACAGAGGAACGTTTGCTGCCACAGGGTGTCGTTACTGCGGCCGTTGACATGGACTCGATGATCAGCACGAAGTCCTGATGAACCTAGAGACATAACCTTTACCTTTACAGATTCGTGTATCCAGATCTTCGCCGAGGAATTTCACAGAAGCACAGCAGTAGCCGGCAGTAAATCAAATCACGTTTCCTGACTTCGCAGTGTCGAGCAGCGGCTTGCTATATCCACAAGTCCTTTCTTGTGTGCAGATTTTTCACCGGAATCTCCACACAGACACAGTCCAGGTCCCACCGGCTGCTGCAGTGACTCCACGAACTTGTCTACCACATGATCTGCCCTACCGGGCCCTAGCTGCTGCTAGTTATATATTTGAAAGACCTCTACGCCCGTGCAGGCGACGACCCTAGCCCACCACGCTGAAGCAGAACTCAGTTCATGCACCTGGCTCAGCCACAACCCTTGACTCCCCGAGGAGACCTACCTGGCACCCTGGACGCCACTTTCTTCCCAGCACGTACTATTCCGTGCTGTGCAGTACATTCGGCACTCTTCTCTTACTGTGCCCCGCTGTTAAAAAAATCCGCCTCCATTAAATTCGCGGCGAGCCCTGTTCGTGGTGGAGGACTGGAGCTCAGCCCCGCTATGTACATGTATCGTGTATGTGCAAATCCCCTCGTGACCAATATCATGCAAAGGGGCAGCTACGCTAGCTCTCAGTAATTCTCTCAGCTGACGCCTCTGTTTCTTACTCCCTCTCGCTCTCTCCACTCCCCCCCACCCCCCCCACCCCCCCTCCAACCCCCACAGGCAAACAGTATATTGTATTTGGACTTCATCCAGACTAGGATCAAGGCCACGTATGAGGCGCCCCGAGTCCAGCGTTGCGTGCGTATCTTTGTCATGCATAGCACACAAAGGGATCAGGGAGGTTTCATGTCAAGACCTCCCTCAGGTTATATTTATGCTTTTGTAGGTCACACATACATTACATACTGGACAGGTCAGAGGTTTGTGGAATGGACACCCGGTTACAGTACACGAACCCACGTCTGCCTTTTCGGGCACATCCATCATCGATGATGTGCCAGAGCAGTTTCAAGTACCATCTATGTGACCGGACAGTTGCATAGATGGTACTTGAAGCTCCACCGCCGCTGTCACTTGTGCCTGTTTTTCAGGAACATCAACTTGTTACTCGTTGCAATTATATATTCCAGCAGATGTTCTAGAAAACATTGGCTGCTCAAGGTCTGGATTCAGTTGATCTTGACGACTGATGAGTGAATGTGTGACTCATTATTGACTGCGACAACAACTTGTGATCGACGAGATCTTGGGATGCTTCGATGCTAACTAGTAATCAAGTGATCTATATACTCTTACTTAACGTCTATGCCCCTTGGTATGACAACGTGCAGAGAAAGGACAGTACATTTTACTGATATACAAAGTTTCACAGGTTTGTTGCGAATTTTTTTCGGTGAGAAAAAGTATATTCTTACAATAACTGTATGAGTTTGTCATCACTACGTATCCTGTTCAAAGAGTTTTCTAAATTCTAATGAGCATGCACCACCTACTTTCCGTTTAGATAAATGTCTTGCCAACAAACACTTTTTAGAACACGTGAATTCAAATGCAATTCTGGATTAAATTGGAGCGTTATTAACAATCATACTGAATGATGTCATTTCTTAATAATTGCTAAGGTAAGATATTATCTTATGAAAATTTTTTGATCTGAATCAATGTTGCAGATCAGATGTTAATATTGAGAACTAAAATTATATTGCATTTATCATTCTCACAAAGTTGAATAAATTATTCACAAGCATATCTAGTCAACATTTTGGCATATCAATCATGCATTCTTCAATTCAACAAAGTTTTAATCACATAGAAATTATTGAATTTTAAAAATAATTTTTTATTAAAATTAGAATTTAAAAAAAACTTTAAAGTAGAAAACTTTGTGAAAAACAATTTTAACATTTAACAAAATTCACCGAATTTAGTAAATAATTTGACTAACCTGAAAAAGAAATTAATTTATTACAGTGATTATGAACTGTAATAAGAATTTTATTACTTGAAATAAATAATAAAAACAGGAGTTTGTAATTTGTGTTTTTTTAAATATTTAAAATAAATTCTAAGTCACTGATCCAAAATTTTGGTTTATAAAGTGTAGAAAAATAACATCAATCTTTTTTTTCAGTTTTGATTTATCTAATGGAACACATAAAATAAAAAATTATAAATATTATCAAAATTTTCTTTAATGGTATAATACAGGTAAGTTTCTAAATAATAATTCACACATAAATGAATATATAATTTATATAGTGATCAAAGTAAGATATAATGCATGAAGTTTTCATAAGTGGAATATTATTTCAAAAAATATCCGTCTAAATATTATAAATAATATACAAATATTTTTTTTAAATTTAATTTAATAATTTAATTTAATTATATCTAAAAATTAATAAAAAATAGATAAGTTCTAAATTGTAGAAGAATTGTAATGGATAGAATTTAAAATAATAAATAATAGAATTGGATTACTATAATTTAAAATAAAAAAATAAAAAATCACATGCTTAATATGGAAAATGTAATATATGGAATGTTATTTAATTAAAAATATAATTTTACATTAATATATTTAAGAAATAAAAAAATTCCTAGCTTAATTCAAGTCTGAGATTAAACTTCAATTAGTTTAACTTGAGTTAAATTTAGATTTAGGCTTAATACTAATTATGAGTAAAACTAGTATTTTTGCTAGCTTCTATATTCTTTCATTTTTCCATTTATGATGTTATTTTGTAAAAAAGAAGAAGATGAATATTAGATAAATGGAAGATCGTTGATTGCAATATTCAAATTATCAAACAAATCCAAATCTTCTAAATCACAAAATTATTATTTTCACTCTCCATATGAATCATTGATTAAATTGATAGTTACGGTTGCAAGCAAGACAATAAGATTAAAATCATCCATCTTCAATAATGCGGATTGAAAGTTTTTTCAGATTAAGCTATAAATATTGTTATATTACATTTGTTAACTTGAATCTTCAACCAAGTGTACGAGTATGATACCTGTATTTTGCATCTCAACGAATCATGAAACAAATTGTATATCTTCTTGAAACCGATGAGCTTCAAGAAAAAATATTATGCAATAGATTCAATATCACATTGATTGATACATTTTGTGATGTGATTATTGATTTATGAAGTTTGGATAGTAAACAAGTAATGAAATAAAAAAATGTCATGTCTTTAGTTAATTACATACATCATATTAATCATTATCAAATGTGTTGTCATTTTGCTCAAGTTTTGAAGACTCTTGTGCTTGGAAATCAAGTTTTGGTTGATGTGTTCTCATCTTGTGTTTGAAAAACAACTTTTTGGTTGATGCATTAGGAGGTTATAATTTGATAATATTAGACTACAAAAAATATCCGGTATAGATCATATTGTATATGTTTAAGATCATATCGGACAATAAACACTAACATGATAGTCTAAAGCTTAAAACAATCCACAATCAAATTTATTAACTTCAAGTATCTCTCCAACTTTCTAAATACAGGTTCTAAGAAATGCTTCATAAACTTATACTCTTTTAAGGAAATTCTATTTGAAAAGCATAATCGCAAAAATAAATAACGAGTATAAGCATTAGTAGTTAATAAAGGATAATCTGTTATTATACCTAAAACTACCTCTATTTCAGTTTTGTGATCTATTTGTAAAAAAACCTATTTTTTT